AAGCTACAGCTAAGCTCAAGCTAAGCTAAAGCTAAGCTAAAGCTAAGCTAAAGCTAAGCGAAACGCTAAGCTAAAGCTAAGCTACAGCTAAGCTAAAGCTAAGCTAAACATAAGGCTAAAGCTAAAGCTCCCAGGGGACTGAGGGGAACCGCTCCCAGGGGACTGGGGGAACCGCCCGGGGCGCTTTACACTGCCCGGCCCCTTTAAGCTAAGAGAGTAAGAACCCTTCTAGGCAGAGCCTAGGTAGGGAACTACAGTTGCATGGAAAGAAAAGCTATCAAAAATTATCGCAGTGCGACCCTACCTAGGAGTTGGAACCCCTAGGAAAGCAGCATAGTAGTAACAGTAACGCTAAGCTCAAGCCAAGCTAAAGCTAAGCTAAAGCTAAGCTAAAGCTAAGCCACAGCTAAGCTAAAGCTAAGCTAAAGCTAAGCTAAAGCTAAGCTAAAGCTGAGCTAAAGCTAAGCTAAAGCTAAGCTAAAGCTAAGCTAAAGCTGAGCAACAGCTAAGTTAAAGCTAAGCTACAGCTAAGCTAAAGATAAGCTAAAGCTAAGCTAAAGCGAAGCTAAAGCTAAGCTAAAGCTAAGCTAAAGATAAGCTAAAGCTAAGCTAAAGCTAAGCTACAGCTAAGCTCAAGCTAAGCTAAGGCTAAGCTAAAGCTAAGCTAAAGCTAAGCTAAACGCTAAGCGATAAGCTAAGCGAACGCTAAGCTATCAAAAAAAATCCCGGGCAATCCCCCGGACAACCCAGACAACCCCTCCGAGATGGAGACTACAAGTGCCCTAGAATGTATGTGTGGCCAACGCTTGAGCGAGAGCACCGTATGGCCAGCGCACTGGAGAGAGGACCTTTTTCAATCAAGGATGTGGCTTGCGCTCAGGCGAGAGCGACATCCAGTGCTCGGGCGACAGCTAACTTCCCAAGCGCTCAGGCGACAGCACCGCTCCCGCTCAGAGTTGCGAGGATGCCTCTGGCGAAACTGGCTGGACCACCTCAGGTCAGCTCAGAGTTGCGAGGATGTCTCAGGCGAAACTGACCCGACGCTGAGGAATGAGGAGAAGGCTGAAGGCGCTGAGAAATGAGGAGGCCCAAGAGAGGGCTTGGGTAGGATTGCGCCTGGACAACCCCCGGACAACCCCCGGACAACCCCCCAGACAACCCAGTTGACAACCCCCTTGACAATCCCCTCGAGAATCCTACGTGCGGGGGAAACGCCCTGCATATCCTAGTACTGGGGGTCGCGGGTGGCTTTCTTCCGTCGGACCACCTGAGGTCAGGGCATCTCTGAGACAATGGTTGTGAGGACGGACCACCTCGTGGGCGGCATCTCCGAGCCCAGACTTGCGAGGGCATCGCAAGCGAAACCGGCGGGAACACCTCAGAGCTAGGCATGCGTGAGCCCGGCGTTACGAGGATGACTCAAGCGAAAGTGGCCAGACAACCTCCACATGTTGAGCATGTCTTTGTGCGCTGGTCCCACGGCTGGAACTAGCTCCTGCAACTAAAAGGTAGAAGACTCCAGCCGGCCACGCATCGTGGGGAGCAACAATCAATGAGAATGTGCGAGCGGGAACGGGAAGACGCGAGAGAGGAGGAACGAATCAGAGGGGAAGGAGGAAAGAGAGGCGCCCTTTCCAACTGGGTTTGACTGGCTACGCCATTCTTTTAATGATATGGATGATTCAGACATGTGCGTGCGCTGGCAAAACGGCACGGCCTGGACAACCCCTTGGACAACCCCGCGAGGAGCCGGACAACCCCCTACGGTCAACCCTCCCCGGAAGTGTTTTTCCATGGAACATAGCAACCGAAACATGTCAAGACCATGCTAGATGCAAGTCGGTCACAGGATCTACGTAGTACGAAGGAACGCCACGCTAGCCAGCGCGAACCCCAAACAGTCAATACTTGCACTATGGATGTGTTAGCTACGAGGTGAAGGCTATGTGCTGCAAGCTATGTCGCGCAGTATACGCTGTGCGAGCTGAAGGCGGCAACGGGCGGCAACCTGGCGGACCCTCGCTGGACCCACCCAGCGCACGAGGCGGCAACGAGAAGGCAACGGGCGGCAGCGTGCCAAAACCTCGCCAGACCCACCCACCGCGCGAGGCGGCAACGAGGCGGCAACGGGCGGCAACGTGGCGAAACCTCGCCGTATCCGCCCGCCGCACGACGCGGCAACGGGGCGGCAGCGGGCGATACCTCGCTGGACCCACCCAGCGCACGTGGCGGGGTGGAGGCAACGAGGCGGCAACGGGCGGCAACGAGGCGAAACCTCGCCGGACTCGCCGAGCGCACGGGGCAGCAGCGCACCGGCAGCGAGGCAGCCGTGGGCGACAGCGCGGCGAAATCTCACTGGACTCGCCCACCGCACGAGGCGGCGACGCGGCGGGAACGGGCGGCAGCCTCGGTGGACCCACCCAGCGCACGAGGCGGCAACGAAACGGCAAGAGGCGGCAACGTGGCGAAATCTCGCCAGACCCACCCAACGCACGAGGCAACAACGAAGCGGCAGCGGGCGGCACCGTGACGGACACTTGCCGGACCCATCCAACTCCTTACGGACAAAATTAACAGCCCCGAAGTGCAGACACAAACACTGTGAGGTGCATGTATATGTAACACTATATACATACGCATGTAGATATACAAGTGTGTACATATATATATATATATATGTATATATGACCGCGCGTGTCGCTGTCGGCCTATTTCAAATCATACACAGACGCTGACCTATTGATTCCCAACCATCCTGTGGTGTTGGGTCCTCGTTTTGAAGAGACAGCGCCCCGCGTTCACTCCTCCTCCCGCTGCCCCCTCCCTCCTGCCATCATCATCATCATCATCATCATCATCATCATCATCATCATCATCATCATCATCATCATCATCATCATCATCATCATCCACCATCATCATCATCATCATCATCATCATCATCATCATCATCATCATCATCATCATCATCATCATCGCAAAAGCAGCCACTTCGGCACACCCCTCACACGTTTCGTGGCCCCATAGGGAGCTCCACCGAAGGCCCCAGTGGCTGCGCTCCCATGCGCCCACCGCACCCATTTCGGCACACCCCTCACACGTTTCGTCGCCCCATAGGGAGCTCCACCGATGGCTGCATGCGCTTTCGGAGCGTGGCCCCATAGGGAGCTCCAGCGAAGGCCCCAGTGGCTGCGCTCCCATGCGCCCACCGCACAGATTTCGGCACACCCCTCACACGTTTCGTGGCCCCATAGGGAGCTCCAGCGAAGGCCCCAGTGGCTGCGCTCCCATGCGCCCACCGCACCCATTTCGCACACCCCTCACACGTTTCGTGGCCCCATAGGGAGCTCCACCGAAGGCCCCAGTGGCTGCGCTCCCATGCGCCCACCGCACCCATTTCGGCACACCCATCACACGTTTCGTGGTCCCATGGGGAGCTCCAGCGAAGGCCCCAGTGGCTGCGCTCCCATGCGCCCACCGCACCCATTTCGGCACACCCCTCACACGTTTCGTGGCCCCATAGGGAGCTCCAGCGAAGGCCCCAGTGGCTGCGCTCCCATGCGCCCACCGCGCAGATTTCGGCACACCCCTCACACGTTTCGTGGCCCCATAGGGAGCTCCACCGAAGGCCCCCGTGGCTGCGCTCCCATGCGCCCACCGCGCAGATTTCGGCACACCCCTCACACGATTCGTGGCCCCATAGGGAGCTCCACCGAAGGCCCCACTGGCTGCGCTCCCATGCGCCCACCGCACCCATTTCTGCACACCCCTCACACGCTTCGTGGCCCCATAGGGAGCTCCAGCAAAGGCCCCAGTGGCTGCGCTCACATGCGCCCACCGCGCCCATTTCGGCACACTCATCACACGCTTCGTGGTCCCATGGGGAGCTCCAGCGAAGGCCCCAGTGGCTGCGCTCCCATGCGCCCACCGCACCCATTTCGGCACACCCCTCACACGTTTCGTGGCCCCATAGGGAGCTCCAGCGAAGGCCCCAGTGGCTGCGCCGCATGCCTCCCCACCACCCATTTCGGCACACCCCTCACACGTTTCGTGGCCCCATAGGGAGCTCCACCGAAGGCCCCAGTGGCATGGGGCGCATGCCTCAGATGCCTCCCCACCACCCATTTCGGCACACCCCTCACACGTTTCGTGGCCCCATAGGGAGCTCCACCGAAGGCCCCAGTGGCAGGGTCCGCATGCCTCCCCACCACCCATTTCGGCACACCCCTCACACGTTTCGTGGCCCCATAGGGAGCTCCACCGAAGGCCCCAGTGGCCTGGTTCGCCCCCCAACACCCATTTCGGCACATCCCTCACACGTTTCGTGGCCCCATGGGGATTTCCATTGAAGGCCCCAGTGACTGGGTTCGCATGCGCCCCCACACCAATTTCGGCACACCCCTCACACGTTTCGTGGCACCATAGGGAGCTCCACCGGAGGCCCCAGTGGCTGCGTTCGCATGCCGCCCCCACACCAATTTCGGCACACCCCTCACACGTTTCGTGGCCCCACAGGGAGCTCCACCGAAGGCCCCAGTGGCTGCGTCCGCATGCCGCCCCCGCACCAACTTCGGTGCACCCCTCACACGTTTCGTGGCCCCATAAGGAGCTCCACCGAAGGCCCCAGTGGCAACGTTCGCATGCTGCCCCCACACCCATTTCGGCACACCCCTCACACGTTCCGTGGCCCCATAGGGAGGTCCACCGAAGACGGTACTCACACCAGCATTACTCACAACTGCATATGGTTGGGTCCTTCGCCAGGCTAATGTTTTGTTCGCGCGTGCGGTCGATAAGGAGGTCCAAATCCAACTTACTACAACTGGCCCTCCTTTTGGTGCTAGCTAGCATGACCAACATTCCTCGGAGTTCATGCTGGGGGTACGTGACAGTTCGTCGAAAAAACGAATGCTGCTCATTTTACGCACTCAACGTTACACACGACTCCCCCCCGAGAAGATCCTGACACAAACTGATCGGAACCTGCTTGTCGTAGGGACTTATCGACTTCTCAACGTCACCGCGCTGCTAAATCTCTCCAACTCATAATGCAGACGTGCGGGCGGAACGCCAGCGTTCTGGCCCATTCGGAGCCTCTGGCACTCTGCGGGAGAGCTTTCCTTTGAAATTTCAGATGCCAACTTCTCCTGGAAGTCTGCAAATGGCTGCGGCCTGATCCTGTCCCATATGTCGCCATCGCTCCATTCAATGCGGATCCCATCGCCCACCAACTTCCCTGTGTACACGATCCCGTTAGCAAGCAATGATGCCACATCGCCGTTATAGTTCAATGTATAGACTGGCCCACCCTCCCCATCCTTATTGCAATTATCCCCTATCATCCGCGTTCCTTTGATAGTTCCCTGCTTGTTCCAAACACCGTCAAATGTGCTTTCAGCGCTCTGCGCTGGGTACAACTGATCAAAAGCCCAACTCACTGCACACAGGCCCCAATCTGGCAACTGTTCCACCGTCTTCCGATTAGCCTGCATGAGGTGTCCAATCTTATCAGCGACCAATTCCATATACGGGTCTGAACGGAAGTTCAGGATCGCAAACGCACATGCTATCTGCGTGAGATCAAAGCAAACGGCCTTGTGTGATAGCGCTGTCGACATGGATAGCATTGACGTTGCCATCTTTGAGCAAAATGTGTTTGACTCACGTTTTCTGCGAGCAAGGCCCCAACACATATTGGCGATTTGCCGAGGCTTTATTTAAATCGCTCGACACATCGATCGCCCGGCGCACCAGACATGTCACAACATCGTCGTACCCATCTCCTTTATCATGAAGCATGCCCAAAGCCCAGAGAGCATTCGACACGTTCTGAGCGTTGGCGAATTGCACTCCCGACGAACGCATGCAACCTGCCAGGCTGTCAATCAATTGCTTTGATTTCGGCCAGATATCGTGAAGCACTGCGACGGACCACAGAAGCAGGGCAATTGGATCACCAACCCTGCCGTCGTCGGCATGCCGCCGAACCGAACGCCTCCAACGGCCATCTGCATTTGAAAGAGCTGCCTCCGTCAAGGCAACTAACTGGTTGATCTCGACTGACTCCTGTTCCTCCTGCGTGGGTTTCATTTTGCCTTCTGCCAGAGAAATCCACGCCGCACTCATGTGAAGAATATTCAGGCCCACCCCATCGGCGTACTGCCCAGAGTCGAAGTGCCCAACCATTTCACGCAAGGATGATGCACTCCTGATCTCGGTCGTGAGCCTCGCACGCTCGCTCGCACCCGACAGCCCTCGGATTGGACACGCCCTGCCGCGCAGGATGACGCTGGTTCCTTTGTGCAGGACCCTCGCGTTTGTCTCAAGAGTCTGGACTCCGAACCAAAGCCTACAAGCGCAAGTCCTCGTGAACGCGAACCAGCGCGCCTGCGTCACCAAGGACATTCCTGGGCCGCGGGAGGCTGGCGGGCGTCTCGATGGGAGCCCTTGGTCAAATTGGCTTAGGTCAAAAAAGGCTATGGATGCTGCACAGTGTACTCTGATATCTTTATGCAACTATATGTAAGCATTATATACATACGTATATATATACACGTAAAACCCCGCAGTTGCGGATCAGAGTGAGGGGGTGGCGGGGATGTCGGCAGTCTGCGAGGCCCTGAAGAAGCCTGTTGGTGTGTCGCAGGTGGGTCGCAGTCGGGTCGCGAGTGGGTCGCGGGCCGGGTCGCGGGTATGTCGCCGGTGGGTCGCGGGCGGGTCGCTGGGTGGATCGCGGGTGGGTCGCGGAGGGGGGCCGCAAGTGGGTCGCGGGTGGGTCGCGGATGGGTCGCGGGCTGTGTCGCGGTTGGGAAGCGGATGGGTCGCGGGGTCACGGGGTGGGTCGCGGGTGGGTCGCGGGGTAGGTCGCGGGCGGGTCGCGGGTGGGTCGCAGGTGTGTCGCGGGTGGGACGACGACAACAACGCAACGCAACGCGACACAACGCAGCGCAACGCAACAACAACAAGCAAAATCCGCGCCGCGGAACCTCACTTTAGCCACGCGCCCAGGGACAGTGAATCCCACCAGGCCTCTGGGCGTCGGTGGTTTAGGGCGTTTCCTCTTCCACCCCTCCCTCTTCCCCTTCGGGGAGGGGTTTACCCCTCCCCCTACCCCCTCCCCACTGACCTGGACAGGAGGGGCGGGGAGCGGTCAGAGCGTCCAAAACGGCCTCGGCGAGGAAGCCCAAATCATTGATTTTACTATGGTTTGGGCCCCATTTTGGCCTTCTGAGGGGGCAGCGCTAATTAACGCTCCCCTCTTCTTTGATCGATTTCCTCCACGATGGCCGCAAGAGGCCCCCAGGATGCCCCAAGAGGCCGCAGGATGGCCCCAAGATGGCCCCAAGAGGCCCCCCAAGAGGCCCCCAGGAGGCCCCCAAAGGCCCCAAGATGGCCCCAAGAGGCCCCAAGAGGCCCCCAGGAGGCCCCAAAGAGGATCCCGAACGGCCCACAGAGGCCCCCCCGAGGCACCGAAGACGCCGAAAAGCCCCTCAGGACGACCCTCTACTCGCCTGGGCGTCGTTTCTGGACGGGCTGGTGGGGATACGCGAAGCGTCTAGAATTTCCGTCCGGCCCCATCACTCTGATGTAAACCACCACCTCGCATCAATACACCATAATGTCCCGAACTCCCCAACGTAGGGCAACTGAATTGTACTGCTCGTGAAACTGATGTAAACGGTGCTATCAGCGCATGTGGATATAGATAAATGGACCTAAATTGCACGGCGAAGGTGGGAACAACGGCGGTGTAGTTAATATTGCGTGGCCTTGTTGGTTAAGTTATGTGGTACAAGCCATGTTGTGTAGGCTATGCGACGTGGGCTAGATGGTATGAGCTATGTGGTGTGGTCCACCTTGCAGATTGCAGAACCTGAAGCCGTCAACTCCACTGCTCGCGCAAGAATACCACCCTCCCACCCGCAACTTGTTTTGCTCAACCCATGCGGCCGCGATTGCGGTGACTCATGGTGACTCCTTCGCACTGACGGGAATATCTCTGCGGCTTCGCAAGCTCGCGAGAAGAGCGACCCATGTTTGGCACAATTGATGCGGCCGCGATGGCGCTTACCGATGGCAACTTCCCAACGCCTTTCAAAAGCCACGCTGGCGCGCGGGCACTTCAGTGCGGGTCGGTATCAGGATGACGTCGACAAAGACGGCACGGATGATGATTGTAGCGATGGTGGTGGCGATGACGACGATGACGGCGGCAAGGCCAATGATGGCACGCACCCATGCTGGTGACGACAATGACGGTGATCACATCTATGTGTCGGTGACGAATGTGCTTGGATAATGATGCGGGCAATGGAGGCGGTTCTGGATGACGATGCGTGCGCAGAAACGCAAAAAACCTGTCAGACCTGTTGAACAACCGTTCGTTTTGCATATGCGTCTGAAGAACTCTACCTTGAACACAACTTGTTCTGGAAGGAATCCGTCAAGCGCGCGCGGCGACGTGCGCGAGTGGCCTGCATGGTGCTACCTGATACGGATTCGTGCACTGGGTGCCAGCTCGATCAACGCGGATGCACCGCGTGGTGAGATGAGACAGCGGGTTCTGCACGAAAGTGTTGAGATCAGATGGTGCCCCTAGGATTCAAGCATATGCGCGCGGGCAAAATTTGCAAGAATTGTGATGAACACTTGACCTTTTGGATGCTTTAATGTTGACATGCTTGCAGAGCTTGTGCGTTCGATGTGATTTCGACATGTGCGCGCGTGGACTTCGTGCAATTCTTTGAAAGGGATTACTTCCACATTATATTTTGTGATACACGTGTGTGCGCACAGTAGTATTGGACAGGTGTGAGGGAGGGAGATACAAACTGGCATGGGATGCAATGAACTCATAAGGAAAATGAGCGATGATGCGTAATCATATGCAATTTGCCGTGTACAAGGGTGTGCCAATAAGTCCGAGGGGGGGGATTGTGGTAGAATCGGTTTTTCTTGCACTCGCTTCTCATGTTTGGCAGTAGCTCGCGTTATCCGGTGGTGGGGGCGAGGGAGGTGCTGGCCGATCATCTACTCTTTTCGCTTTGGGCAGCCTCGCGCATGCCCGCGCGCACAACTACCGCGCAACCCCTTTGGACCTGCGCGAACGACAAAGGTGAGACTATCTGGGGGTGGGGGAGGGGGGCGGGCCCGATAGCCTGGGTCATCGCCGGACCCTTACCAAAAAAAAAAAAAAAAACTCCGCCTGAAAGGAGAACATCATCTATGTGGTGTGAGTTATGTTGTGCAAGCTGTGCAGTGCGAGACATGCTGTGTAAGCATGTGGCGTGAGCTAGACTGACTACCTACCAGACCACCCCAACCCAACCCGAAGACCCGAATTTCGGGTTTGGGGGGGGGATAAGGGTTCCACATGTGTTTTTGTCGATGTTTCCCGACCCCCCCCCCCCTCCACTGGAAATCGAGGGTAAATCTGAGCCTTCGGGTTGGGTTGGGGTGGTTTGGTGGGTGGTGATAGCCAGTGTGAACCCTGTGGCGCGAGCTGTGCGTTGCAGTCCACGCTGCGCAGACTGCGCCGCGGCGCAGCCGCGCGGCGCAGGCGACGGGATGCAGGCGACCTCGGGGCGGCCACGGGGCGCCCACGAGCGGGCGCGAGCGCGCCAACGAGGCGAGAAGGCCCGCCGGAGCCACCCGAGGGGGCACGGGCCGCCCGCGAGGAGGCCGCGGGCGGCGCCGGGCCCGCCCAGCGCAGCGGGCCGCCCAGGAGGCGCCCCACGGGCGGCGGCGCGGCGGAGCCTCGCCGGAGCCACCCGGCGAGGCCGCGAGGCGCCCGCAGGGGGCGCCCTTTTGGGCGCCCACGGGCGGCAGCCCAAAAAAAAACACCCTCCCAACCCAGAAAAAAACTCGCCATCCGGCTTTTGTTTCGGGTTGGGTTTTTTTTCGGGTTGGGGCCTCCGCAGCGCGCCAATCCGAAGAAAAACCCTTTCGACCCGAAAAAAAACGCGGCTCTCGCCGGACCCGTCCAGCTCCTTGAAACGACGAGCGGGAGCCCCCGAGCGCAGGCGCTCTTGGGGGGAAGAGCGTACTCCAAGCGAGCTCTGGCCAAGCGGAGACACCAGACAACAATGCGGCGAGTGACGAGCTGAAGACAGACCGTGATGGCAAGCCAGATCTGACACTGTGACACGTTTGCTCCAGCGATGCTCGATGTAATTGCAAGATTTGCTTGCAGAACGGCAGCGGTGCGAACATGAAAACCAATCAGGCACTACACATGGAAGACTGATGGCAATAAGCAATCGAGAAACAGCTTAAACGAAGCTGCACAGCAGTATCAAGCCAAATTGACCAGTCAAGCTGACAAAAATGCTACGGGCGAGCTAATTATAGGCGAATCGTCACGCTGACTCAAAGCAAGCAACGCATGGAATGCCCAAACAAACAAACAATAGGCAACTGCACGCGGGCTGCATTCGAACTGAAGACACAGCAGTACTTTCTCTTTCTTCACAGCCCCTTCTCCGCCATCTTCACTCCTAAAACTTCAAATGTCGGGACATTAAAGCGTAGTGAAAAAGAATATATCAGACAACCGCGGAGCCAAAACACCTACATAGTACTCACGTGATTCACACCGTGGCGTGGAAAGCCAGAGACCATAGAGCGGGATCACATGGGGTAGAAGAATTGGGAAGAATCGAGCGCGCGCAGACCAGTCACCAAAGACCAGCGA